ATATTAATAATAGAATTATAAATATTGCACTTAAAGAAATTCATAGTTCAAACAAAAATTTGCAAAATTTATTTAGGAATTGAAAATTGGTTATAGAGATTGGGATGTGTTGGAGTATCAAAAAATAATCATGCATTGGATTCTGAGTTGATCCATTCACAGAAATTCATTCAAAAAAAAAAAAAAAGATTTACACAGTAGAAATAGTGCATATAATACTGATCTTGGACTTTCTAAAAAAAGTAAAAGATAAAAAAATTTGTAGAATTCTACGATATATAGTGCCTGAGAATTGATATGTTGATCAGACACTCAAGCATCAGATATTTACAGTCTTGGGTTATCGCTACAAAGAATTTGAGCATGAAAAGAAATTCCATTTGATTGTGGCCTTGTACCAAAATTATCAGTAGATTAGGAACTAAGTGTTGAGGATTGGAAAGTATGTTAGAAAAGAGATTATAACATGAAAATATGAACCTGGCAAATCTGAATAGTAAAGTTTATGATATAAGGTTCCTTCGGGTCGAGTAAGTGGAGAAAGATGTTAAAGATGAAAAGAAAATATCCAAATACTATCAAAAATCAGCAAAACAGTAAAAGAGTCAGAAAGTCATGGATGCAGACAACGATAATGAAAGGCATTTGGATGAAATATGAAATCTGCTGATATGACTGATGTTGGTGACTTCTGTAAATTAAGAAACCAATGATTGTAAATATCTTTGATACTAAGTTGAGATAATATGAAAAGATTTGATAAATAAAGTAAATAGAAGAATAATAAATAGAAAAGTTACATAAATATCTTGGTACTGGAATGTAAGTAAGTACTGTGCAAAAAAAAAATAATAAAAAATAAATAATTCTAAAGGTTGATAATCTATAAGTCGTATAAATATCCTAGTACTAGGACATAAATAAGCACTGCACAGGAAAAAAAAAAAATCATTAACGGTTAAAAGGTTGATAGCCAATAAGTTTTGTGCAGAAAGAATATATAAATATATTTGAATGAATAAGAAGGGTTGTGGATGTATTTACTAACTTGGGTAGCCTTGTTTAGCAACTTGCTTCACAATGCCTATCTGATGTTTGGTATTATTATAATGATATTGTAAGATAAGAATGCGTATTGTAAAAAGATGAAGAATATGGTAAAAAGAGAAAAAAAAAAAAAAAAAAGAGAGAGGTATTATCTTTGTTTCTTTTTTTCTACGATTCTCATTTTGCTCTCAATGTGTATCTCTATTAATCAATAAATTTGTAAAATTGAAATTGATCTGAGCGAGAATAATAACCTGATACATGACAATAGTTATGCTAAGGTTAATATTGCGAGGATCTTCACATGTCAAGCCAAGCCCAAGAACGTATATGGAGAATTATTGTTACTATTTATGGTTAAGAGAGGAATGTATGTAGTATATATTGATAAGAGAAAAGATTAAGAATCGATAGTGCTTTTTTCTTTGCTGCCTGACTTTGGTCTGGCTCTTTCGTGGGTGATCCTGCCCGGCCCACCCTTCAAAAAAAAAAAAAAAAGAGAGAAAAAAGGAGAGAGAAAAGAGTGAAAAGGAAAAGAGAAAGAAAAGAAAAGTGTGCCAAGAAAACAAAGAGTAAAGAAAAGTTGAGAGAGAGGAAACGAAAAAGTGTGACAAAGCAAAAGAAAGAGAAGAAAAAGTGTGAAGAAAGGAAGGTGTAAAAGAAAGAAAAAAAAAAAAAAAAAAAAAAAAGAGAAAGAAGAAAAGAGAAACGTAAAAGTAAATAAAAGTGTAAGGTACAAAGAAAGATGAAAATGTGAGATGCTCGGGGACGTGCTTGCTGACTGTAGGTGGTTTTGCTCAGCAACTTGCTCCACGATGCTCATCTGATGTTAGTAGTATTGTAATGTGAAAAATTTGTTGTAATGATTGTAATACTACAATGATGTGTATACCTTTGCGTTTGGTCATGACGGTATATCATACATGTGCTCGATCCTCTTTTTTGTCGCCACGTGACCATTACGCAATATATGTGTGCGTACATTGAATTGTAGTTAAGAAGTTTATAAGTTAAACATAGGCACCTAGAGCCGCAGCGCGGCACTACTCCCATTGTGTATCTCCATTAATCAATAAATTTGTAAAATTGAAATTGATCCGAGCGAGAATAATAATTAACATTACACTTTGAATATAAATTTAAATATTATAAGATTAAAAATTGTTACGTAGAATAATGTGCTTGTATATACTTTATTACATTTTTCAAAATTTTTTTTCATGAATTTAGCCATTTAAATCAAGAAATTGTTCAACTTTGGTTAGAATCATTATCATTTTTAGCAAAAAAATGGCTAGAAAGGGAAAGTAAAAATATCACGAATTTGAAATCGATCTATAGTAAGGCATTAATCCCAGCGTCTTGTTATTATTATACTCTTTAATTAGAATATGTTCATTTCTAGAAAAAAAAAAAACTATTATAGTTATCTTTATTTACTCTAGTTTTATTTTTAAATCATTAATTTCCTAAATATTTAATTTTATTATGATTCCTTTGTAAACTACTGTACATAATGTAAAAATAAATACAGAATATAAATTTTAGGAACATTACATTTTTCATAATAGCCTTAGAATACAAGCATTCTACAATTAAATTTAATCTCTTTCTAATGCATTAACATATTTGTATCCCTTAAATTGTATTCTGGGCAAATTTGCCCCGATTTTCTGATTTCCGATAAATTTTCCGCACTACCTCCAAAATTTACTAATGATAGCCCCCTATTGCTTGTATCACAATGGAGGCAAATACTAGTGTAATGCATAAAATATGTAATATTATGTAAATTTTAGTGACACAATAATGACACAATAATAAAGTTTAATAAAATTCTTTGTTTGTTAAATATGGAAATTACGCTTTAAACTTTTTCTTATATTAATAAGTAGCTGCGCAACACAGTTGCGCGAAACCAGGAACGGGGAAGTAGTAAACTTAGTACTAAATAAGTGAGACCAAGAAGATTTTGTATTTTACATTGCTTCTCTTCTACTTAGCATTTTCTCCTCTTCATCATAGTAAAAAAAATTAGATAAATATATATGATATTTTAGGAAATTGTTATATAGTTACGGAATAATTAGAAAATTTATTTGCTAGGTAAAGCACAAATCTCCGCTTTTTCTTGAGAGGAGAGAGGTAATGTAAAACACAGAATCAAGTTGGTTTTGGCATACTATAAAAAATATTTTATAAAGGTATTTTTAAATATATATAAGATTCTGATAAACTTGCATATGATTTAACTATTGTAGCTATCTAGGTATATTAGATAGTGGTTTATCGAGATCAAAATTTAGTTGTCTTATAATTAAGTGTAATGTAAATATGTTCAGTATTAAGTTGCATTATTAATTGATATAAATTATTTATAAAATTGAAAATAGAGTATGTTATTGTAATTAGTAGAATATATGTTTTCTATGAGCAGTGTCAAGAGAAAACTTGCAATATAAAAATAGATTACTTGAAATTTATAATAATATATGTGTTTTCTCTTAACAACACTTTTATAATACAGATTGTAGTAAAATCAAATTATGGAGAAATTTGAAGAGCTCATTTTAAAAATATAATATCTACTAAAATTCATTTATACTTTTTTATTAATAACCTTAACTCTAAAATCTAACTCAGTGATAAAAAAAAAAACTGACAAAAAAAGTACAAAAAGATTTTAAAAATTGGTTACAAAATAGATTAAAATTTATTGTAGTGCAAGAACAATTCAACGTTTAAAATGTTGTTTCAAAAAGAAGTTTGCAATTTAAATAGAAGATTGTTATAATTATTCTATATTAATAGCATAAGCTAAATTTAAAAAAAAAATTTTATAATAAATATTAGCATATGGGGCGCGGTCAGTTAAAAGGGGGCCTATGGCTTTTTTTCCATTAATCTATTAGTATAACCTGTTGGTTCGACATAAATTAGCCAGTCACAAGAACGTTTTTCTATGACTCCGCAGCAACGATCGACAACTGGGTTTCTAAATTCTAATTTTAGATCATATTTAATCGTTCTGTATATTGATATATTTTAAATATCAAATTGCATATATAGAGGAATACCTACTTTATATGATAGTATAGTTCACTCATTTTTGCAAAAAATGCCATAAGCCCCCTTTTAACTGACTGCGCCCATATAATGGGGCTTAGTTGCTAAAAATTCCTATGTATTTTTGTGACTAGACATTGTACCCAGATAGAGTTTTCATTAAAAATATATTTATAATAATTTATCCGAGCAACCGGATATATTAATAATTTTACCGATTGACCATAGCAATAGCAGATAGCAACGACATATATGTTCGCTAGCCTATGATATCTACGCATATCGATATTACTCTTTTCCTTTCTTTTTTTTTTTTCTGTAGCCTAAGTAACACATTTGTGCATACGTAGTACGTACGTATTGATGATTTGTCGGTTTATGCCTAATATGGAAAATTGTATAGAGAATTATTTAAATTTTATTTGTATTACGAAGTTTCAAAAATTGGATTGGCCGTTGATTACAAATGAGTGTCGCCAAAAGAAAACCCGACAATCTAAAAATAGACATTATGAATTTCATAATGTCTATTTTTAGATTGTCGGGTTTTCTTTTGACGACACTCAAATATCATGAACTGAGTGTTATTAAAAATTCCACGAAATGTATACTTGACTTTGTCCATTACCATGACAAATAGCAAAGCGCATAGCATCCATACGCACGTACCACGTACGTACGTACTTTGCTATATTTATATTTTAGGTTTGAAATATGGTTCAAGCATAATGACTTTTCATGTTTCACTATTTGTTTTTGTTGCAGTATACGTCAACAGATGACAAAAAATGGGATAAAAATGGGTTTGTGTTAAAAGCTTGTTGTTTAAAATTGATTATAAAGTGAACTATAAATTCACACCTTTCTACTCATATAGATAAAACAAAATGAATTGGATTTTGAATTTGTTGCCCAGAAGGGGTCCGGATATAGATCAGGATTTCCCAGATGAACGAGAACTTAAGTTAAAAATCAGAGTCATAAATTATGAAAATAAAGAATTATGTCCTCCTTTCCAACGGATATTACCTAACGATAATCTTGACAAAATCCGAAATCAGCTAAAGAATATTAATGATCAAAGAGATTTTCGTATGGGAACAGATCATTATTTTTATGGCAAGCTTGGAAAAATTTTACACGATGAAGAAGCTAGAATTAATTTGAAAGAAATTATCCGTGAGGGAAATGTATTAAATATCCTCCAACCAGGTGTTGATTGGCAAAAATTGATCGATAAGTGTGATCATGGATTTATAATTAAAAATGACAACGTGGAAGAAGCAGAACTCAAAGCTTTTAAAATAAATAAAGATAAAATTGGACTAGATTCGAAAAAGAATTTAAATGGGAAAGATTTTCGGCAAGAAAAATGTAAAAATAAATTTGAAGAATTATGTAAACGAAATTTTATAGCAGGCGGGCAATTTTCTGCCATTTCACCCTGGCTGACACTATTTCTCGGAGTGTCTAAACTAGATAAATCCAAAATTTCAGAAGAAATATCTACCGAATATTCATATACAGTGCTAAAAAAAGCCGAGCTTATTATACCAAAATCGAGTATTACATTAACTGAAGAATTCAAAAGTGAAGTTGAAAACGCATTGTCAAAAGAAACAACTAACGATAAAATAGATGAACTTCGTAAGGTATCAAAAAAATATGGACATTTTTATGCTCGACGTATAGTTTTTGGTGGTGCCATTATTGAAGAGCTCATAAATACCGAAACTTCTAGTAAGCAATTAAAAATTATTGTAGCAACGAGTTTTGATTTTTCAACATTTATTGCATTATTGATTTAATATTATTTCTCTAAAGGTTTAAAAAATGAATTCAATGGAATTATTTCAAAAGCAAGTGCCAATAAAATAGCAGGTGTATCTATTTCTCAAGAAGCTGATAACAAAACGAAACATTCAGTAAATAAAAAAGAAAGTTTCATTCGCATTATCGGTGGAAAACGTGCATATCATGACATAAAAATTAATAAAAAGCCATGGTTTGATTCACTTGAAGATTTTGAAACTTGGGAAATAATTGAATATGATGAAGTTTGTCCAATATTTGAATTATTAGATGGTGAACTGCGAAAAAAAGTTTTAATTGCTTTAGGTCAGAGAATTTTAGCAGGTAGATAAGATATTTATAAATTCATTCATCCAATATTT